CGTGGAGCACCCCAAACCCGGCAGCTGCTCCCCAAACCACCGGGGTCTGGTTCGCCCCCACCCCGCCGGGCTCCCGAGGGGCTCGGCCGGCCCCGGGGTCACCATTGTCCCCGCGGCCTCCCCAGCGCGACACAAGGGGACGTTTATTCCCAGCCAGCCCCGGCCACTCAATCAAACCATCTTTGTGTCCGGAGGGGCCTGGGGCGGAGCAGCCGCTGCACCTCGCCTCTTACCAGCGCGGGAGCGTTGCAGCCGTTTAAACTTAAATCCCTCGGAAAACAAGCTGGCTTCGGACGCTGGGTTAAGAGCAGCTGCAGGAACGCGAGCGGTGGCAGCGCCGAGCTGTGCCAGTGGTACGGCCGTGCCGTGCCCAGAGCGTTTCGGGCAGCCCGATCTCACCGCAGCCAGTGCCTGTGACTCAGTTTCCCCCACTCCGCAGAGGTGAAGCAGCCCACGGGGGCCAGGGAAGATGGACCCCCCCGGCAGGTCCCGGCATTGGGCACAGGGGTTGCTGAGCCCCCAAGGGGTCACTGCACCCCATCACTGCACCTCACCTTCGCCCGCAGGCTGAGGGTACCCTGACTGTGGTCCCCTCTGCTCAGCCTGCACCCACAATAGTGCCCAGGGCACCCCGGCCACCGTGATGCCCCATTCGCCTCTGTACCCCTCTGTCCCCCTGAGCCGCAGCATCCCTGTCCCCTCAAATCTCTTGTTTTGTGCCAGCCAGCCCCATGCTGCTGCGGTCGATGCAGCAGCCAGCCTGGCCGGGGTGCAAGGCAGCCCGCAGAGCCCCGGGCGTCCCGGCCACCTTTGCCCCACCACGACCCCCGAGGATCCATCCTGGCGGGGGACGCACAGCCCCAGGGGAGTAGCCCCAGCCCTCAGCCACCCCCTGCCTCGCAGGGCTGAGGCTTGGCACAGCCGGTGCAGAGCGGCCCCTTCCTCGGCTCCTGCGCCAGGAATAAGCTGGTGTGCAGGGGGCTGACGCTTGCCCAGTTTTTTTGGGCATGGCTCCGATTGTCACCGGGCGATGCCATCGCTATCCCGCTGGGACGGGGCAGCCTCGGCCCAGCTCCGAGCCCTGTTCCGGCAGAGCGGGTCTCCTTTTGCAAACAGCCCCCAAAGCAGATTTCGGCAGAGTCAGAACTCTGCCAACGCAGAGCAGTGACCCAAGTCCCCGTGCCACAGCAGGGCCAGCTCAGCTCCCCACCACCAGCCATGAGGCCAGCAGGGAAACGTCCCTTTGCCCGCGCCTGGATCCATCCCCG